GGGTTGGGTGTAACAAACAATAAAAGAGAATGGTAAGTGAGTGCTGTGGTGTGGTTTGCTTTCTTCTTTCCTATCAAACATCTGTCTTCCTTAAAAATCGCTCCACCTTCTTTTTTGAGTTTGTTACTCTCTTGTAGCACCTCTAATCTTCGGCATTTATACGACCTTATTGTGTTGAAAGTGCCGTAAAACACTTACTAAACCTAAACTAACAATAGAACGCTGGGGTCTCTACCTGGGTGTGAGTGGTTAGAGGGCGTCACTGGTATGTTCATTCATCTTTTATGTTTTGAATTTGATTTTAGCTTTTTGTTTTCCATTTTGTTTTTGTTCCCGTGTCTCGGTTTTCTAGTCATCTCACTGTTCCGACATTTTTTTTCCGAATCGATCAAGGAAAGCAACAAAAAAAAAATCAATCTGCAGCGCCTGATTGGTCATCGATTACGAAGAAAGAGTAGGTGTCAATAATTTAGCACAGAGCTAATACTCCACTTGGCTATGAAAAGCCATTTGGTCGTTACGTTCCTCACATGGACAAAACAAGGTGTGATGTGTTGCTCCAAAAGGTGTGTGCTGTGTGGTGTGTTGCTCCAAACAATGTGTGCTGCGTGGTTCCAAACAGTGTGTGGTATGTGATATGCAAGTTGCGCACGTTAAAGATCCCTTTGTGGTCTAAAATCGACAAGAGTAGGCTTCGGCTGTCACCCGGGCAAAATTCTAAATTTCCTACCAACTGAAAATGTTTGATTTGCCCCACGCTCTCATATGACCTTATGCAATTGCGAGCGCCGTAATACACTTACAAAATTAATAAAACAAGGTGTGTAATATGTGGTTCCAAACGGTGTGTGAATGGTAGCTTCTAACAGTGTGTGATTTGTGTTGAGACGATGTTGCTCAGGAAAGAAGCGTGTCCAATTTCATCGAGTACAATAGAAATTGTACAAGACAGCTATCGATCGTTGTGGTGAAAAGCGGTTGTTTTAGACAGGTGGATAATCATCTTGGACAGTGTCCTTATAATGTAGAAAATAACGAAAGAGGGAAGTGGATGATGGTCGTTTGTACAGGCGATTGTTTTGTACAGGTGACCGTTGGTACAGGTGATTGTCCTGGACATGTGTGACCGTTTGTACAGGTGATTGTCTTGGACATGTGTGACCGTTTGTACAGGTGATTATGTTGTACAGGTGGCCGTTTGTACAGGTGATTGTCTTAAACAGGTGTGGCCGTTTGCACAGGTGATTGTTTT